CCATGGATCATCGAGGCGAGCGATCCACAGATTATTTGTTTTGTTTTGATGCGGTCAGGCGCGTAACAACACACCGGGCAAATGGTTCGACACGCCCATGATGAGCTCTACAAGAGACAATCATATAGAAACATCAAATACTAGTGATATAATTCCATCAGCCGAAAGCAATCATCCCACCATCCCTACATTGTAGACAGACAAGGTCCATCTGCTGATCGCCGTCCGTGTGTCTCCGCCTTTTCCCCCACTCCTCCTGCTAAAATCAAATAGTCGGCAAAAGGAAGGGAACTTTTGACCCTACCACTCTACTCTACTTACTCTATCTCCTGCAACTGTCACTCATCCATTAATTGTCACATGTCTCACTTTTCTGCTTCTCCTTTCTCCTGTCACAAAATTCTCTATATCCTGTTTAATCTTGCAATTCGTCGTTGATTTCTTCAGTCTGTTTCTTTGTTTTGGTCGGGTTCTGTTGGCCAATCATACCCCCTACTGCCGACACCGTTCACCTCCAATTCTCCCGTTGTACAAGTGTCTGTCTACGGTACTAAGTAGAAGCTAAGGTACCTAAACGGCTTCATTACTCTAGTTGGGCACTTGATCGCCTTTCTATCCCGCATTGTGGTCCGGAGAATCGTCAATTAGTGAGTTGTCATCTCCTTTCCTTCATGGCTGCCCTATAGGACCTCCCCCAGGATAGGGGGGCCACACGTCCACCTCGCATCGCAGCTGCCTCTACCTGCAGATCACTCGGGAAGCAATTCGCTAGCTGTGGTGAGGTGTCATTAGCTGATTGCTGCGTTGTCTGCCTCTGGTGTCTGCACAGCATCAATCAGTTCTGCACTGATGATCCTGCATGGATTCCCATAAATTGATTGCTACTCTAGTTTCTCTCAGAGCTAACAGACTTCCCTCTAGGTACGGTCTCAGGCCTACCAACATCCCATAATGGCTTCCACGGAAGAACCCGTCCCTGCCCCTGCTCCCGCTGCTGCGCCCGCTTCGGCCGAGGTTGACGCTGACATGGCACCCCCTGCTACTCCCGTCGACTCTACCATCTTGTCCGGCAGCGAGGGCCCCGTTACAAGCCCCGACGCTTCGATCAGAGACAAGGAGAATATCAAGTCTTCGCCCGAAAAGACCACTACAACCACAAAGCGTCCGTTGTCTGGAACGGCGGCTGCCAAACGTCCGAGCTCGATTTCTGGCGCTTCCAAGACCGCAGCGTCCACCGCGCGAGCTGCGGCCAACGGCAGTACGCTCAGCAAGCCCCCAACTCGTCCTACCACGACCGGCACTGTCCGTAAACCGCTGAGCACTTCGACGACCGCCTCTCACCGGTCTCGTCCTTCGGTGAGCAGCTCCGCAGATGAGAAGACGAGATCGGTCGCGAGCTCTGGCGACGAAAGGAGAGGAATCTCGGGCTCGGCCAAGCGCATGTCCTTGGTCGGCACTACTTCTTCTAGGGCTCCAGTGAAGACGACTACGTCAACTTTGGACCGTCGCTCGAGCATTGCCGGCACCACCGCATCAAGGAGCACGGCTACGCGTCCTGGTACCGCTTCATCGACTAAACCTGCCACAAGACCAACTGGCGCGTCCAGCACTTCCCGTACACCCACCAGCACGACCACGACCGCGGCCCGACCTGGAACCCGACCCACGGCCACGGCTACGCGCCCTACAACGACGGCCTCGAAACGACTGAGCACCGCCATCAAGGTTTCTGACGATGAGGCGGAGAAACTGCAGTCACTGCAGAACAAGCTGTCCGAGAGTGAGGCTACGGTCGCCAGTCTCAAGGCAGAGCTGGAGACCGTGAATGAGAAGCTTTCTCAGCTGTCGGTGTCTCAGGAGGGAGCACCCAAAGAAAACGACGATGCAGTCGCCAGCGCCCTGCGGGAGGAACACGCTGCCGAGACGGCAAAGCTGGCCGCTGAACATGCGGAGCAGCTCCAAGCTCTGCAGGCTCAATTGGACGAGGCTGAGACCAAGCGCAAGGAGCTGGAAGAAAAGTCCCTGCAGGACCTGGACGATGCCGCCAAAGCAGCGGCTCAGGAAGGGGACGACAAGACGACTGCGGCACTTGAGGAGTTGAAGCAGTCCCACCAGTCTCAGCTTGAGGCGCTGGAGAAGGAGCTCGCTGAACAAAAAGCCATTGCGGCCGGTTACGCTGACCAGATTGCCGCTCTCCAGGCTCAACTCGAATCGCAAAAGAGTGTGCTTGAGGAAGCCACTCAGAAGATACAGGAGGAGAAGGCGTTGGCCCTCGACAGCTTGGACCGGGAGCTCAAGGGACGCGACCAGGTGATTGAGAACCTCAACATGGAGATGGAGAAATTGAACAGCGCCAAGGAACAGGAGGTTCGTGCGGCCGAAGAGTCCGCCAAGCAATCTGTCTCCGCGCTGGAGGAGAAGGTCGCCGATCTAGAGGCCAAACTTGCCCAAGCTGAATCTGCCACGAGCCAAAGCAGTGAGGAGACTGCTCTTCTGCTTGCCGAGAAGGACAAGGAAGTTGTTGAGCTCAAACAAGCTGTTGCAAAGTTGCAGGAAGAGCTTCAGGAGGCCCGTGAGGCTACTGCCCAGGAATTGAATCAGAAGATTGCTGAATTAGAAGCCGCTCACGAGGCCGCAGTCGCCAAGCTCAAGGCCGAACACGAGGAGGCTCTGGCCTCGGCCGCCGCTGCCCATGCCCAGGAACTGACCGTGGCGAAGCAGACCGCTGAATCTGCCGGTTCCCTGCACTCTGAGGAGCTTCAGAAGCTGCGCGAGGAACTGGATGCTGCCGAAGCCGCAGCGCAAAAGGGAAGGGAAGAAGCCATCGGTGAGCTCAACGCAGCACATCAAGCCGAATTGCGAGCCCTTCAGGACAAGCTGAACGTATCGGAGCAGGCGCTGGGTGAAGCCCGGCAAGCGCTGGAGGCTAGCGCTAGCTCGGCCCAGGCCGTTGCGGTCCAAGAGATTGACTCGCTCAAGGAGAAGGTTGGTGCGTTGGAGTCGCAGCTGTCGACCGGACAGGGCGAGATCCAGTCTCTGGTGGAAGAGGTCCAGAGCAAACAGGCAGAAGCCGAAGCCTTGCACCAGAACCTCACTGATTTTGAAACCAAGCTCAGGGCCAAGGACGCCGAGAAGGATGAGCAGCTGAGGGCTCTGGGTGAGAAGGCGGCTGCGTCTGAGAAGGCTCTTGAGGAGCAACTCAAGGAGGCGGTTGCTGTTGCTGAGAGACACGCACAAGCCTTGGAGGCGTTGAAGGCAGAGCACGCTGCGGCGCTCGAAAAGGCCAAGGGCGAGGCGGCTGGGTCCCATGAGAGTGCGCTGAGCGCGCTCCAGGCCAAGCATGATGAGCTGCTCGCGGCGAACCGGGACCTGGAAACGTCTCACGCCGAAAAGGTCGAAAGGCTAGAGGCGGAGCTGAAGAGCACGCTGGAGCGCCATGCGGGTGAGATCAGCTCGCAGACGGAGCTGCGCGAGAAGGAAATTGCGGATCTCCGGAAGGACTTTGAAGAGACCAAGGCCAAGCTCCTTGCGGAACTCGAGGCATCGCAGACATCCAAGGCTGCCGAAGCTGATGCCGAGCACAGCAAGGCGATCGAACAGCTCCTCACTCTCCAGGAGGAGAAGCTGTCCAGCCTCCGGTCCGAACTCGAATCCTCCCACAAGGCCAAGCTGGATGAGCTGCAGAAGTTGCATGACACCGCCCTCGCGGAGGTCCAGGAGCAGCTTGCACAAGCCCGTGTTGCGATGCAGGACACCTCTCTGATTGATGGTCTGAGGGCGACGGTGGCCGATCTCGAACAGAAGCTGATGGATGCGGACAAGGCCGTGGCTGCCAAGGAAGCGATGGCGAACCAGCACAGCACCGCGCTGGCCCAGCTGGATGCGGAGAAGAAGGAGCTGGAGGCCCGCTATGCGGCTGTGACCAGCCAAGTGGACGAGTTGACCAAGTCGGCTGCTGCGTCGGAGAGCATCAAGGGGGAGCTGGAGCGGGTCCTGAACCAGCTGTCTGCATCGCAGGAGGAACTTTCGCAGCTCAAGGCCAGCCACGAAACGGTCAGTGGCGAGCTGGAGCAGTTCAAGACGCACACCCGGACAATGGAGGAAAAGCTGTCGCAGGGCGAAAAGGACCTAAACGACCAGATCGAGCGCAACATGTCGCTCCTGAACCAACTGGGCGACGTAGACTCGACCATTTCGGCCAATCGCAAGCGCGTGCGTGAACTGGAGGCTGAACTGGCGGCGCTCAAGGCAGACCAGGACAGCGGCAAGGGCAGCGTGGGGCTGGAGGGAAGCCGATGGGCGGCGGCAGAGGATGGAGCGAACCCGAACAAAAGTGAAGAGAGTGGTCCGACAGCCGCTGCGGAAGGTGAGGACCTTGGATCATCCATAGAGGGAACGGTGGGAGACCCGTTGTTTACTCGGCGCATCCAACCGGGGTGTTCGTTCCCAGTGTTTGACGTGATACTAATGCGGTGGACATAGATGGCAAGCATTCAGGAGCAGCTTAAACATATCCGGACGGCCAACGATGACTGGTACGACGAACACCGCAGGTTTGCCTCCCTTTTTTTTTCCTACTTTTTTTGAGACTTTGATCTAATGATGCGTTAGACTCATTGGTGAGCTCACTCAGCTATCGCGACGCACAACGCCGGACCGTCGGAGCCAGGCGTCGACGCCTCAGCTGGAACGGCTGAGCAGCTTTGAGAGCCGCAGTGGGGAGCGGTCGTCCTGACTGAGAGAGAGAGAGTGAGAGAGTAGTGGAAGAGTGATTTCGGAAGGACTATTTCCTTTGTATTGATTGGTTGTATGTAATACGATGCTCAGGATACCCTGTTCATACTTGATGCGTCCCGACGAAGAAGAGTCTAGGGTCTAAATTTATTATCCTTATGATTATAATTATAATGCAGACGATGATTCGGCGGATTGGGTATCATGATAAGCCAACTGCCCAGAGCCAACTGGCCTGAGCCACCACCAAAGTTAAAAGGACGGGGTCAGTGAGACTCGCGGTGACGAATGTGGGAGAACCACGACCACGACCACAAGCGGCGTTGCCATAGCCGTTGCCTGGCTCGTTCCTTGTCGCAGTCCGCCCGGCGCATCTCGACGTAGAGCGACGGCGTGAGGATCTGAGGCGGCGGCGATGGTTCTAGCTCGGTGTCGGGTGAGGGCACGGGGTCGGGTTCGGCGGGTAGTGTCCCCCATTTCTCACCGAGGACACCTTCCCCATCCTCATTGGCATGTCGAGGGACGGAATTCTCAGAAACCTTAGTGAGGTCCACCTCGCCGTCCATCATCCACGTCCTGCGTTTCTGGTGATGGAGATGCTGGCCCGCCGACGTAAAGGCCCGGCAATACGCCGCATAGGACTCGGAGAGATCGCGCTCTGCCTCGTACTCTTTCAATTTGCGGTGGTTAAGGTCGGCGGTAATCTTTTGCCTGTCATAGTCATTGGCATCGTGGATGTGATTGTGATTGTGATTCTGAGGGTGGGTGTGGTCGTGCGGATAACTGTTATCATAAGTGGCGTTTAATCCCTGTCTGGAGATACGGCGGGAGACCCAGACCGATAAGCGGCGCAGAGGGAGGGACTTGTTGCGACGGGAGAGACTTCTTTGGAGGTCCGTGTAGAGGAGGAGAGAGGAGGCGGTCGAGGAGGTGATGGATGCTGTGTCTGGCAGGAGAATTTCTGGCATTTTGGCAAGAGGTATCTATCTGTCTGTCTCCTTTGGTTGAGGGTGGTGGTGGTGGTCCAGACTAGGCATCTATATATATTTTGCCTAGTAGGACAGGAATGAGAATGAGAATGAGAATGAGAGAGTGAGACAAGATCAAGCCGACAATGCAGGAATGTATACCCCTGATACTGTCTTCATTTCATGTGTATTGACAGGGTAAGAGAATATCATGTAATTAAGTCGAAGTGAAGCCGAGGAGGATATGGTGGATATGGGAGGGACTGGCACATGCTGTTATCTATATAGTGACACAGACTATAGAGTGGTACAGACTATATATTGGTACAGAGTATAGCTGCATGAACTATAACGGCGAAGTGAGGACAGTGGCTTGTGTAGCGCCCTTGGAGCACAGGAACCACGGGACGTTGGGGTACTATAGTCGTTTCTGGGCATATTTTGGGACCATAGTACATAGTAGTACATAGTCCGTTTGTTGCCCAGGAAGAACCGTTGGAAGGACGGTGGATCCGGGTCGTGTAAGACCGGAGAAGGAGTGATAAAACCTGTCCAGTCGCTGGCGAGCATTAATCTATCGATAGACTGACTGGACCCTATATTAGGTCACACGATCTGTGGTAACTAATACTCTGTCCTCTTCCTTGCAGTATCATTGTTGCACTGCAGCTGCTCCTCACTTTGTACTACTTGAGTGACAATTATTTATCGTTCTAACGATGTATATGTATATGTATTTGTATATGTATATGTACAGGTAGGAAGTATATACGGTATATGTAGCTAGCTATCCAGATACTCCGTCTCTTCCCAGTCCCCATCTACCCACCTCCCGCATCGCCTCGTCCCCTCCCTCGACCAATCGTCCGTCTGCATTGGACTCATTCGCACTGCCCAACGCTCCGGCGACGCACTCCCATCCACTGCGTCCGCCTCCCCACCGAAGCACCTCGTTCTTGTATCGCTCGCCCGCCGCCCGGTCGACCGCGTGCCGGCCCGCCCCGAACACATCGACCCAAAGCTTGTTGGCGATCGCCCGGTCGAAGATGTAGCTGTAGTACGTGGCCCCGTAGCCGTAGAGATGCCCGAAGAACCCTTGCCAGGAGGTCGGCGGCGTCACATCCGCCGGCTCCGGCAGGCTCGAGTGCCGCTGCGCGACTTGCTGGTAGAGCGCCGTGCTGTCAATGCGACCCCCGTCCGCCGGCCGCGAGTGGTACGCCTGGTCAACCAGGGCCATCAGGATCTGTGCCTCGTTCTCGACCGCCCCGTATATCGACCCGTGTGCCGTCCGGTCGCGTTCCATGCTCCGGATCATCCCCTCGGACAGCGGCTCGTCCGTCCGCCAGTGCCGCGCATACAGCGCCAGCACCGCCGGTGCCGTCGCAAAATGCTCCATCAGCACCGACGGCAGTTCCGCAAAGTCTGTGGCGCACCGCGTCCCCGAGATCGATTGCAGGCGCGTCTGGCCCAGGATCGAGTGCACCGCGTGGCCCATCTCGTGGAATAACGTGCGCACGCTGTGCTCGCTCAGTAGCGACGGACGGCCCCTGCCGTTGATCCCGGGCTCCGGGAAATCGCACACCAGCGCAATCGTCGGCAGCTGCCGCAGCGTCTTGGTGGTCGGGTCCACTGCCGTCGCCATCCCGTCGTTCGGGTGTGAGCTCTGGTCCAGCGAGGCGCACTCGGCCACTTCCTCCGCCGAGATCTCCCGCGAGCAGCGCAACGTAAAGTGTGCCGGGTTCGGGTGCTTGTTGGGTCTTGAGAACAGATCGCAGTAGATGACGGCAATGTGGCGGCCCGCCTCGTCCACCACATCCAGCCGTCGTACGTCCGGGTTCCACGTCTCCCCGGGGGCGGGCTCCTGGGGCACCAGCCGCACCCCGTACAGCCGGTCAAACAGTCGCGACAGACCCTGCATGACGGTCCCCAGCGAGAAAAACTCGGGAACTGCGCTCAGTTCGCGGGACCGCCGCGCCTGCGAATACTGCATCACTCGTTGGTGAACGTAATACGCATGATCCCACGGCTGCAGCGGGGCGCCCTTCATGGCGTGCAGCTGCGACAGTTCCTCCCGGACCAGTGTCCGATTGCTATCCACGAGGGCCGTCAAAAAATTCGAGACCGCCTCGGGACTCTTGGCCATCTTGTCGCTGAGGGTCATGTGGGCGAAACTCTCATAGCCCGACAGCTTGGCCAGCTCCGCTCGTTTGAGAAGCAACTCCTCCAGCCGATGGAGCTGTCGCTTGCTCGACGTCCTTGACGCCAGATAGACCTCTCTACGCACGTTCTCGTCATGCACCGACCGCAGCGCCAGCCGTGGGATCATCCCCGTCGTCGGGACTGCGGCCGTCCGGTTCCACCGCTTGATCTGCTGCACCAGGATCGGATCCAGCCCCTGGAGACTGTTGGTAGCAACACTGACATGCGACTTGGCCGGCTCGGCGCCATTGACGAAACTCGAACCCAGCTGACTGATATCGTTGGACAGGTTCACAAACCGCTGCCGCTCGTGCGGCGGCATATAGATGGCCGAGTTGGAAAAATCCTTGATCAGAATCTGCGCCACGATCTTCTCCTCTTCCGACCACTGCGACGTCACCTCGGGGTTCGCCGCCGCCTTTTTCAGCTGGTCGTTGAGCCCCGTCGTCGTGTTGAGCACATTCATATACTCGAACATGAGCGCGTACGCCTGCGTCGCGGCCTCCTGCACCTGCGGATCGGGATGGATCACCCGGATGAAATCAGACAGATCGATCACGCGACACAGCAGGTCGCTCAGCCGGTCCAGATCCCGCGCCATCGTCCGGTATTCGTCGAGGGTCGAGGCCGACAGCACCTTGGACACGATCGCCTGGCATTTCTGCAGCGATACATTGGCAAACGCCCGAAAGCCATCCGGACTCGTCAGGTATTGGTTCTGGACTAATCCCGTCGGTTTGGGCTGTGCCGACCGCCGCTGCGAAAACTCACGCCAGAACTGTTGGGAGTCAAACACTCGGCGAAGTGTATCGTCATCGACGGTTTTCGTCCGTGTGTAATCTGCCGGGAGAGAATCTAGCTGTCGAGGGAACGGCGATGCTGCCGTCTCAAAGGAGCGACGAGTCTGGAGCTGATGTAGCTGTAGGCGTTGCAGGCATTTTCGGCATGTCCATGGCCTACGCCGCAGAGGCAGCAGTAGTTGGTCTTTCATGGCGAGTTGACCAGGCAAAAAATCTGTAAATTTATCATCGATAGAGGATATCAAACTATTCACAGATAGAAAAAACCTGTCCAAGTAGACATCACTGAGGAGAATGAAAGTGGGCAAAGCAGCGGACGATGACGGAGAGGATCGGGCCCGCCGAACAGCCGCGAAAAGAAAAAGGCTTGGCAGCTCCAACGTCAACCTCGATACTTCTTGTTCACCATCACCACCACCCTCTTTTCTCTCCTTGCTCTTCCCCCCAACCTTTGGCATTGATTGACCTCTTTCCGTCAGGATGTCATTCCGGCCAATGTTCCACCAGGTGAGTGCCCTTTTCCCCTTTCTCTGTTACTACCCGGCTAACTCGCTCAGCGAGCTGTTGCTCCAATCGCGGCCACCCTTCTGGCTGGAGGCGTAGCGCTGTATCCCAGGCGGACTGCATACGCCGAAGAGCCTTCGGACAACGTATGTCCCCAGCTGTGCTGGCATTACTTAGATGCTCGGATTCTCCTTGCGCAGGATCTAACGTCTACAGAAAAAACCCATCTACGATGACTTCCCAGCCGACATCCCCGAACCCACCAGGGCCACCATCCAGCTCCCTCCCAGCACCCGCAGACCAACTCCTCCTTCCTCCTCCTCGCCTACCCCGACCGACATCCTGACGGCCCAAGTCCGCCAGGCCCGTCTCTTCCTCTACAGCCACTCCCTCGCCGCCGAGAACAGCTTCAACGACTTCCTCTCCCGCGCCCTGCACATCGAGAATGCCTTCACCAACACCATCGCCTCGCTGGCCCCCTCGCCCGAATCCGGCGAGCGCCTCCTCCCCGGCGGCGTCTACGTCGTCGTCGCCGCCATGGCCGGCTCCATCGTTTCCCGGAACCGCGGCATCTTCCTCCGCACGCTCTCGCCGCTGGCCTTGGGTACTGTGGCTGCTTGGACCCTGTTGCCAGTGACGATGCGGAATGTCTCCGACCTGGTATGGGAGTATGAGAAGAAGGTGCCTGTCGTTGCCGAGCAGCATCTGGCTCTCCGTGAGAGGGCGGAGTACCTGTGGTACACGGGTGTGGCGCACAGCGGCATGGCCCGGCAGATGATGGAGGAGAAGATCGGTGAGACGAGGAAGAAGTTGGAGGAGTTGGTGAGCAAGGGACATTAACCTCTGTACCATTTTTTTTTACTCTCTGGCAACGATCGGCTTGCCTGTGCTGTATACGGGCTGAGGGTGCTCACAAACCCTCGTTGCATTGTACTCTTAGCCGTCACTAGATCTGAAAGATTCGCGGTTCTGTTTTCTGTCGTTGCAGACATCTTGTTATTACTGGATGAAATGATTACTGGATTATTCTAAACATGATATGATTGACCGCTAACCCTCTTGATCCTCGGCCGGCGCCGGACTACCAACAGGAGGCGACGCGACTCCGGCCTTGGGCGGCGGAGGTAAGGGAGTCCCTTTCCGCGACGGGATATAATCCTGCTCCTTGCTCTTCTGCTCTCCCTCAGCAAAGTACTCATCGAACGCCAGGCTGGGCGAGACGCCCATATGACGTGTTCGGCCGCCTCGCCGCGCTGCAGGGGACCGACTATTCGAAGGCGACGCCGACGACAAGGCCCTGTTGGGAGCAGATAACGGCGGCGGCGAGGCCATGTTCGCTGGTACCAGGAAGCTTCCCGCGCTGGCGTCTGCTGTCTGGCTAGCATCTGGGGCATGCATCATTGGCGCAGAGGTGCCGTCCTCCCTCGTCTCGAAGACGACCTCGCCCGGGCCCTCGACCTCCTCGCCTAGCCCGACAGGCAACCGGTGCAGGGCCCCGTAGCCTAGTTCTGCGCCGAGCGCGCCTTCGCCGCCCCAGCCCCGAGTCGGGACCAGCTCCACCTCTCTTACCACGTCGAATTCGCTGTTGTATACCCAGAGCACCAGTGTCCGGTTCAGATGGTCTTCCACCAACTCTCCCAGCGCCGCATCGCCTCGTAATGTCCCACTGGGCGTCCCGATAATGTAGTCTGAGTGCGGAAGGAGCCCAGCGCGGTAGGCTGGGCTCAGTGGGGATGGAATGGACAGCACATGCCAGATATGTTGTGTCGAGGAAAGGGGGGCTAGTTGTAAGGCGACACCGAGGGTGGGATCCGAGGGGTTTACCGGTATGGAGACAGTGTGTGTTTTTTGGCCCTGTATCAGTTAGTATAGTCATTTGCGGTAAAAGTCCAGTCCATGCGAACCTTTGCACTCCAGATCTCGAATGTGACGCTTGCCCCTGCGCAGTTGCGCACTTCGGTTGCGAAGAGGTTCGGGTCGGGATCCTCCTGTAGCCAGCTCGGTTAGCTCAGTCGCGTAGGCCAACCGCCAATACACATACAATAGGATGGCCGTTGATTCCAACAATAAAATCAAACCAGGGCTCGAGAGGTAGCTCAGGGTCTTTGTTGCGGAGGACCTGGAAGCCAAATGCGTTGTCTCCGGTGGGAGTCCGCGGGTGCTGGACGGGCTCCGTGTCCAGTCCGATGAATCTGTTCAGCGCTCCAAACATGACTCCCCTTCTGTATTTGTTGGTCTGCAGAGAAGGAGGAGGACTGAAAGTTGACTACCAGCTGCCCAAGGTGATACTGGTGTGGAGAGCTGTCTTGTCTGTTGGGCTGCAAACAAAACAAACACTGTCGGATCAGGAACGCCTTTATCGGTTATCGATAGAGAGGTCGATCTACAACTTATCACCTTTTCTAAATGAATTGCTCGTCCAGTCCTCTCCAGAACATGGGACTTGACGCAGTGTCCCTCATTTGATCTACCTAAAATGGCGAGCAATTCTACGGATGAAGCTCCGCCCGAGGTTCATCACTACAATCACATTGGTGAAGTGCCGTGGGATATTCAGAAGTATGTAGTACTGACTGATCCTCAGTCATTGTCTAATGCTGACGTTCTAGTTACTGGGCGCAACGATACAAGATATTCTCGAGATACGATGAAGGCATCTGGCTAACTGACGATGCCTGGTTTGGTGTGACACCAGAACCCGTCGCCAAGTTCGTCCCCTGCTGAAGCTTGCTCCTGCTACTACTAAACCCCATCAGCAAGATCGCAGAGGATATCGCCCGATCAGCACCCGCAGGACGCAGTATCCTAGTAGACGCTTTTGCCGGCGCAGGTGGGAATACCATCGCGTTTGCCCGAACAGGCAAATGGAAACGAGTCTACGCTATCGAGAAGAACCCCGCCGTCTTGCAGTGTGCCAAACATAATGCCCAGGTCTACGGCGTGGCGGACAAGATCACATGGTTTGAGGGTGACTGCTTCTCTATACTGAAGAATCAGCTCAAGGAACTCGCTCCATACAGCATCATCTTTGCAAGTCCCCCATGGGGTGGTATGTCCTTTCCTTTTTCCTTCGCCGGTCTGGCCATGCAGCTGTCTAACCCGTCCTGCAGGCCCTGGGTATCGTTCGGATGAAGTGTTCAATCTCCGGACCATGGAACCCTACTCTCTCAAAACGCTGTACACCGAATACTCCCTATTCTCAGAACACATCGTTCTGTATCTTCCTCGAACGTCTGATGTGAGGCAGCTGGCAAAACTGGTCAAAGACGGCGAAAAGGCACCCGTGGTGCATTATTGCATGGAAGGGGCCAGTAAAGCGTTGTGTATATACTATGGTGGCTTTGATCTTTGACGTTTCTTCACTTTTTCTCGAGACATGTATTTTTAGCTCAATGCTCATCCTGCCTAATTATGCTGCGGAAGGAACTGAACTCAACCAACAATGCTGCGGTCGCTGCGACTGCTATACAACATGCTACCCCAGTAATTGAGTGTCAAGTCAGTAAAACCACCGTTAGTAGACTATTTCAAGTCTTCTATAGCTTAGGCTGGTTGTCAACGTGAATGAGGGCCGTTTGAGCTTATTGCCAGATTCGGACTAGCGCCGGCCGCCCACCCTCATGCCTCGTGATTATCGCCGCAGTCCGTTTCATATCTCTCCCAGCCAACACTCTGCCATCGTTTGCATCTCACTTCACTGACACAGGTTGACTGCGACTCCGTCCGCGCCGGTAGAGCAGGTCTCGGTACCTACGAGGCCCTACTATCGCTTTCTCGAGTCCTCGTTTGTTTCTATCAGCCTGTGTCTCAAACTTCACCGACACCACACCCACTCGATTTCCCTCAGAATATACGCTCTCTTCCCACCATCTTCAAAATGCCTCATGCAACGGGGCCGGGGCCCTTGGAGCCCGAGGATTCGGACTTTGACAATGTCATGCGCCAGATGAACGGACCTTTCGGGGAAGGCGGCATGTCGTTCGATTTCTTGACGCGAGAGTTGGAACCCGGCGAAAAAGCAGACGACGCGATCGATTACGAAGACATCGACGACGATGATCTTCCCGAAGAAGAAGAGCGAACGGGCGAACTTGCCGCAGAGGCCGTATCGGCGGTTGCGGATGACGAGGAAAAGGGCTTGTTCGAAGCGGAGGATGACCTCTTTGGGGATCGTGAGGAGCAGCAAGCCCCGGGCGATGAGTTCGACGATCTCTTTGGCGAGGGTCCGTCCTCGCCTGGGCCAGCGCAGATGGATACTACACGAGATCTGTTCTTCGAGGAAGAGGGAGAGACCAAGCCACCCGTCCCAGTCAAGGCTGCCGAACCGCTCGCCCCGGAACCCGAGCCGATGAAGATGGAGGACGAAGAAGAAGACGAAGAACCGTTTGAGGATGATGGAACCGTGACTCCTACTGCGGAGGATATGGATCCTGCGGCTCTCCGAGCGTGGAAACTCCAGCAAGCCTTGTTTGCCATGTCGGCATACGGTCCGGATAACCCGCCAGCACCTCCGGAGAATGTGGAGGAACTGTTACACTCTTTGTTCCCCAAGTTCGATCGCAAAGCTCTCCCTCGCTTTCTCGAACTCATCCCACATAAGAAGGCTTTCTTCCTCGGCAAGCAGCCACCGAAACCTCCCAAGCCCGTCCTGCCGAGCAAACTACATATCGAACTGTCACAAGATCAGGAGAGAATTTTCAAGGCAGCGGGTCAGTCGCATAAGCGGTCCCTTGATGCGGAGCACCTAGGAATAATCACCATCGCCGAGATCGCCCAGGAAGAGGAGCCGATCGAATCCAGGGACGAGGCTGACCACGACACCGATACTGACGAAGTTCTGCCTGGTGGCGTGTCACTGCAGGATCTCCGTGTCGTGTGCTCGGACTGGGATATCAAGGATGATATCTCCATCATGGACATTGACGAAGAGCCTGCCAAGGACGCTGTGGAATCTGCTGATGAGGAGGACTGGCTTGCGGAGACCACCCGTCCGGCAAAGAAGCGCAAGCTCGGTCGAGATCCCATGGACGTGATTGCGCTCTCTCACATCGACCTGCCTCTGCTCGACGACCCAGAGCAAGCTACCGTGCGGGTCGCTAAGAAGGTGACAATCGACATGAACGACCCATTCATCCTTCTTGATGAGCGCGGTGCCGAGGCCGTTGCCCCGAAACCCAAGGCTTTGGGCGACCTCAATCGGGAAGAAATGGATGTCAACGTTACCCGGCGTCTCTCATCGCGCTACAACATTTCCAACGATCAGGCATACGATATGCTCAAGCAGAATCATCAGAACAAAATTCGCAGCACACTTGGCAATGTCACTCTCGAACACAGTATGCCCGCCCTTCGTCTGCAGTGGCCCTACTACAAGACCGAGCTGGCCAAAGCCGAAGCCAGATCTTTTCACCGTCCGGCCATGTCCTTTCGGCCTGGCCAGACCTGCTGGTTCAAAAATCCCGCGTACCTCAAGCGCAAGCATCAAAAGGGCAAGGACGCCAAGACTCTATACGACTCGACCAAGGCATTGTCTATGGCAGACAACTCCAACGTGCTGTTGGTGGAGTACTCCGAAGAGAGTCCCTTCATGCTCTCCAATTTTGGCATGTCAAATCGATTTATCAACTACTATCGCAGAAAGGGCATGGAGGACTCTACACGTCCAAAAGCCGAAATCGGCGAGACGGTCGTCCTCCTCCCTCAGGACAAGAGTCCCTTCTCCATCTTTGGTCATGTTGACCCTGGAGAGATTACGCCGACCATCTCCAACTCCATGTATCGCGCTCCTCTTTTCCTGCATCAACCAAGATCTACGGATTTCCTTGTTGTACGCAGCAGCACCGGCACCGGTGGCAGTCACTACTATCTGCGGAACATTGAGCATCTCTACGTTGCGGGACAGCAGTTCCCATCCGTTGATGTCCCTGGTCCTCACTCGCGAAAGGTCACCACTGTTGCAAAGAATCGCATGAAGATGCTTGTGTATCGACTGCTCAAGAAGAGCCCGGACTTGAGGCTGTCGATAAGCGATGTCACCGCCCATATACCAGGCACAAGCGACATGCAGAACCGTCAGAAAGTGAAGGACTTTCTTCAGCACGACAAGGACTCAAAGTACTGGGTGCCGTTGGAGCCAATCCCTGATTCTGATACGATCCGCTCATGGGTCCAACCGGAGGATGTTTGTCTCCTTGAAGCCATGCAGGTCGGCCAGCAGCACCTCCATGATACGGGCTACGGAAATGACGCGGAGACTGGAGGCGACGAGGATGAGGACGGCGAAGGCGAAAGCTTTGAGCAGCAGATGGCACCTTGGAAGGCAACCCGTAACTTCCTCTTAGCATCCCAGGGCAAGGCAATGCTGAAACTACATGGGGAAGGTGATCCTACCGGCCGTGGCGAAGGTTTCAGTTTCATCAAGACCTCCATGAAGGGCGGATTCAAGGCCATCGGGGAGAGTGTGGAAGACAAGTTGGATGCCCAGCGATTGAAGGAACTGGGCGGCCACAGCTACAATGTCGCGAGACAACAAAAGTCGTATGAGACATCCATCCGCCGAATCTGGGACGCCCAGAAGGCCAGTCTGTCCTCAACGGTGGAACACTCCGACGACGAAAGCGACATCGATCGCGAAATGGAAGAGGAGTTCAGCAAACCCACACCGCGCTCGGAAGCTCCCACCCCCGCGCCCAATCGTCGCGATGACGAAACAACCAGTCAGTTCAGCAAGATCAGCATGGCAGACCAGAAAGGCAAGGTCTTGCGTATCGTCCGGCAGTTCAGAGGTGAGAGGGGCGAAATCATCCAGAAAGAGACGACTGTGTGGGATCCGCGCGTCATTCGACACTACATGCAGCATCGTCATAAAATGGAAGCTTTGACCACCAAGTACGTTTGCCCCCGATTCTCTCTCCTTACTCTCCATATACTAATGACAAATTCTAGACTCGAATCCCTCCAACCCACCGGCGACCCTGAGATCGATGCTCGTAATAAGAAGCTGTACGTCCCCTCCCCGTCTGCCCCTCTTCCATCCACTAAGCAAACTAACCTGTTGTCTTCCCTTACAGCCTCGAAAATGAACTCAGCCGACTCAACCGCAACAAGGAACGCCGTTTCGCGCGAGAGAAGCAAAAGGGCGCCTTCAAGGGCTCGACAGGCGATTCCCCGGCTGATGGCGCTAAGGCAGCCGGAACCCAGCGCAAATGCGCCAACTGCGGCCAAGTCGGCCATATCAAGACAAACAAGAAGTGCGTTTCCTATCTCCACCTTGCCTTTTACCTAGTGGGTTAACTAACAGGAATATAGGCTCTGTCCCCTGCTGAACGGGACTATGAAACCCGAAGATCGCGTCAGTGACTCTGCGTTCGCCATGGGTGCTCCTCCTGCCATCTGATCTGATATCGCACTGATATCGAACTCGCGCTTATTTTCCTTGCTTTCGGTGAACAAATTGTCTCAATGATACCCCTAAGGATTGGTTGCATTGTATGTGTCGTTTTTCTTTCCTTTGCATGAAATCAAAACATCTTTTTATACTGTACGCAGGGTAATCTTGCATGATGATGATCCTCCACTTTTGTCAGGGCATAAAACATTCTCTAGATACCTTGAGTTTGGAGCATTGTTGGGTGGCTGGGTGTATGATCCCTTATGGTAGCATGGTTCAACGTTCTACATCTACCTCGCGGTCGTGTGTCCTCTGATCCGGTATTCCTCAAATGACCACGACGTCGCGTTCTGTCCTATGAAAAGGTCTGCGGCAATTTGATAGTCACTCAGTAGAATATGAAAACACAGACGCAAGTCCATACGATTTCTGGCGCTCAGTTTGCCACTATATATAAATGTAGGTAAGGATACAGCAGCCCTTGGCTAGACTTCACATGGCTCGACTTCAGCTGAAAACTGCTTTGCGAGAATCGAATAAACTGATGCCTTGCCACCCAAGGGCTGTGAACACATCAATATTCATACAATTCCGACAAGTGTCCCCGTCTAAACATCGATCGCCCTCGTTCAGGAACCAGTGCCAGTGCGACTGCATTTGGCCGCCGGTATGTGTACCCTAGAAATGCGCCTCGCTTGCGAATGTCGAGAACTGTTTTACCAACTCTTGGGTCACGCAGTAACTTGTCTCGTGGTCTTCTCCGCTTGTGTTTGTCCTTTTTACGGTGCTTGTTCTTCTTTGCAGGCTCGGGACTGTCCTTATTACCCGTCGGGCTGCCTATTTGTTGCGATTGCGCTTTTTCGAGACCTGGTTCGTGAGCGTGACCTGCTTCGACCTCATCCTGCCCTTGATTTTCCTCCGAGGTAAGAGAAACATCATCGTTGCCCATGGAGTCTTCGTTATCATCGAAATAACGAGTATCTTCCCAGCCATCTACTTTAGGAGTGAACGGCGGTTCGGTCAGATGATGTGTACGCCAATTGATGCCATGGAAGAACGGATGTGCCTTGATGTCCCCGGCATCGTCCGCGTACACGTAGAAGCCTTGGTAGTTCCGGTTGCTGCTGTCATCAAACGGAACGGAACGTCTCAGGTTGAGTGGCAAGATCAATGATTCATTGACCTTGTACTTACTCGAGGATAGGCGGTACTCCTTATCCTGGAGTAGCCGATTGATGAGGTCAATTGCCTCCGTGGATACCATCAGATCGGCAGGTCTCTCAGCAGGAAAAAACAATGTTTGCACATGGTGCTTGGGAAACTGTCAGCCCATGGACACTCCCTTTAGCTATCTGATGAGTCCGAGTAACTTACATGGATCTTCCACTTGGTCTCCTGCCGGTCCATGGAGGCAAACGGGGTGAATCCATAGAGGCACTGCTCAGCGTGCATTAAAAACTGTCTTGATCCCATCTTGGAATGTACTACCTCGTATATTATGATGCCTACACTCCACCAGTCGCATCGCCCGTCGTATGATTCTCCTCGGATGATTTCAGGAGCCATGTACTGGCTGGTGCCAACGATGCTACGGGCAAATCTGCGCTTCTGGTTATTGTCACGCCAGTCTAATACATTGATTGACGGTGGATTCCGGTCGGGCTTGAAATCATTTTGATTCTTTGATGCATCTGGTGACTTCTTTTCCTCCCTGTCTTCTCTGTCGCCGTCAATCTGAATTCCCAGCTTTTCAAGCAAGGAGTACCGGTGGCCGTTGTAATAGGCTTGATCGTGCGCCCAGTGACCGTCAAAAGCTAGACCAAAGTCAGAGATCTTCATATGACCGGAGGCTGAGATCAAGAAATTGTCTGGCTTGACATCCCGGTGAATCCATCGAAGTTTATGAGCCTCCTCGATACAGAGTATCATTTCGGCAGCATACCACCTCGTGAAGTGCTCTGGCAGAATGTTTCTTCGCATCAAGAGACCAAGAAAATCCCCGCCCACCATGTAGTCCATTATCAAGTAGAGGTAATTGTGGTCCTGGAAGCTTGCGATCAAGGGAACTACCCAGCGAGACTTCGCTGAAGCAACGAGAAAGTCTCTCTCTGCCCGCAAATGACCCTCTTGACAGTTGCGTATCATCACTGATTTCCGTATTACTTTCATGGCAAAGACATCTTTCGTTGCACGGGTCATGGGACGTCGATGATCACGCTCGGCTCCACTAAGAGCTGACCTCAGGGAATTAAAGCGATCCTTTCTGAAGGAAGAGGATGAACCTTCGCTGATGCAAAAGCCCGAACTATCTTTGAGTCTTTTCTTCTTTACCAGACGGACCACGCCAAAGCTTCCTCGACCAAGAACTTTGACCACTTCGTAGCCAGCTAGGGCAACTGTCTCAGTGCAGCGGGTGCGGTGAGGGCGAGACTTGAGTATACGGTATTGACGCAGATGTTCTCTTTCTTGGTCAAGCCAATTTTTCCTTGCTCTAGCTTTCTCCTCTGGGGCGAGTAGGGATTTGTGGATGCATCTTTCGAGCTCGATTCGGCGTTCCAAGCGCGGATCCCCGCTGTGAAAGACGGTATTGAAATATATTTCGAAGAATATTTTTGCGTTTGCAGCCGCCTCCACAGTGTAAATAGATGGTGTAACATTCGGCGACTCCTGAATCGGGGTCAGGATTCTGGGAGGTCCCTGGTCTGGAAGGGATAGGCGCTGATGTTTCTGACCCACGTTCTGCGACGATAGTTTCCAACCATCTGCAAAGGAAGACGGTTCTTCCGAGGTTGGCGGAGTAGAGTTTGTGCTCATGGGCGAGCCGCTGTCACAGGGAGAAGTTGACGGATCGTCGCTATGCTGGGCATCGTCGGCGCCATCACCTTGCTTGCTGCGAGGCTGCTGCGGAGTCACGAAGTGAACCGCTGAAATATTTGGTCGCGATCGCAGATGTGAGCGGCGAATGACAGTCGGATATCCAAAAGCAGTTGAGAGTTTGTATGCGACGATATCAGTCAAGACGGCCGAAGTTGAGTTGGTGCGACGAGCATCAAAGGTGGGAAGACGGGTCGAATTGACAACATCGGTTTTCAGAAGACGCGGCTGAAAGTCTGTGCCTTCTGCAACCTTCTCGCACGTATGGATCCGGTCTTTGGATAAGTCGAGCAAAGTGCTGGAGCTGCTCTGGGCTGAAATTTGGGCAGTACGAACGCAAGGACACTCCCTAGATTGTGTGCTGCGGCAACTGTAAACGTCTTTAGTTGCGTATGAGCCAGAGGATTGAGAGGATTCAGCGGGATTAGTTTGATGGATGAAGGTCTCCCCTTCCCTGGGCTGAGCTTTTCCAGCTGATTTCTCTATTAGCAAGTCTCTAATCGTTTATGCCGGGGCAACGTACCGTTGGATGAGCTGCGAAAACCTAGTAACGATAGGAGCTTGGAACTGTTACGCTTGAGACGCGCGCTGATGCTACCTCGACTGATTTGTTCAGCTGCTGAAGAAGGGGGTATCTCTTCCGAGACTTTCTGATCATGGGAAGTCAGACAAGAACTGACACCGTACTCAACAGTGTCGTTTACCGCTTGACAGCCACCAGCATCCTCTGAACTAGCCTGGTGTGCCATCTTCTCCACAGCCGACCTCTTGAGGCTTTAGTTGAGAGCGAAAGACATGTATACGGTGCTATGGACAATACCAGCGTCGAACGAATAACGATAGTACAGCCGGTGCAATGATTGAAGGAATGGATAAAGATCCGATAAACCATGCAAACTATCAAACGGGGGATGCTCTGGCGTTGAGAAGTTGAAGTTGAGAAGAGGACGGATAGGAGAGGGCTGGCTTGTTGAAGTACAATAAGAGGAAAGGACAACCGTGGTAGGCAAGACTACGAAAGTGAGACGCAAAGACCCAAGGGAAGCAGCGCCTTTGGCCAAGAATCTGACGTTAAGTAACTACAGAGGGTTAGTAGAAGGGCCAAAGACATAAGATCCAAATCTATCATTGAGTTATACAACAAGTCGAGGCACCCTTGTATAGACGAGTAAGAGATTTGGACTCCACGCAATATCCTCATCCCTGCTAGATGCATGGCGTAGCTGTGCAGTAAAAAACAAGTCGGATATCACAGGAATTCAGAATTGAAACAAAACCCCTGAACACCTTTTTGGACAATGAAACAAAGGACAATATATGAAACAGTGAGATGCCAATGTGGACAGATGGTGACACCGAACATGAACAATAGAACGTCTCAAGACACAAGCAGGCTCTGTCGCCAGCTTATTTGATCTCAAGGAGCTTAACGTCGAAGATCAACTTCGAGTTGGCAGGAATGCCGGGAAGAGCCTTCTTGCCATAGGCCAGGTGAGAAGGAATCGTGATACGACGCTCACCACCGACAGCCATGCCAGCAATACCAATGTCCCAGCCCTTGATGACCTCACCCTTGCCAAGCTTGAATGTGAAAGGCTTGCCCTTCTTGTTGGCTATTAAGAAGGAAATCCGTCAGCGCTCTATACAATATTGTCTATTTGCATAAGGAGAACATACCATCAAAGACCTTGCCGTCCTCAAGCTTGCCGATATATCTCATGGCAACAGTGTTACCGGCCTTGGCAGCGGGACCCTTTCCGAGCTTCTTGTCATCGATCTTGACGCCCTTGACCTCCTTGACACCAAGAGTGCCGGTGGTCGTCTCCCCTGGCTTCTGAGCGGAAGGAGTAGGACCCTGCTCAAGGTTCTTCGCGAACTGAACCTTCTTGGCTTCCTTGCCCTCCTTGCCCTCCTTAGCGTCCTTGCCCTCCTTCTTCTGCTCAACAGCGGCGGCCTCTCCATTGTTCTTCTTGAGCTTCTTCTGCTGCTTCTTGCTCAAGGCAGGCTCGCCGTTAGCAGCAGCCTTGGCCTTGCCGTCCTTGGCCATCATGTCGTCAAGCGCCATCTCCTCGTCGGAGTCAGCGGTGCGCTTGTTCTTGCCCTTGGACTCAACCAGCTTGGGGGCCTCTTCGTCATCACTCTCAACCTCGGTTACTCTGGGGTGAGCCAAGTCATCGAGTTCATCCTCCTCCTCCGAGTCGTCCAAAAGGTCACCCATGTCGATCAGGTCATCTTCATCGGGGGAAAGGTCGTAGTCGTCCTCGTCTTCCTCATCGTCCTCATCCTCATCATACTCCGAGGGGCCCTCCTCAGCAGGAATGACGTAGTTTCCGGTCAGGTAGACGGTGTGTGTTCCAGTGACCTTGAAGAAGACGCGCTCGCCCTCAGCAACAGTGATGTCCAAAGCTTGCTGGCAGTGCTGTTGCGTGAAGTTAGCATATGCAATAATTGAACTGAAAACCAGTTATTAACATACTCTCTCAGGATCCAAGGTACAGACGACCATCTCGTCAAGCTCCACTCCTTCATCCGACTCGTCATCCTCGTCGTCATCCGTAGCAGGGGCCTTGCCCTTGACGAGCTTGGAGATGGCAGCCTTCAGATCGAAGTCTTCATCGTCGTCCTCGTCATCCTCGTCCTCGTCATCATCCTCGAGCTCCTTGAGAGCGGCAGCCTCCTTGAGTTTGCGGGCCTTCTCCTTGTCGCTGGGGCCGCCGTTAACTTCCTCATCATCAGAATCCTCCTCCGAGTCGTCCTCGTAGTCATCGTCCGATTCATCAAAGTCCATGTCTGGGGGAGGGCGAACAAGCTTGAGAGTAGCTCTGGGGCGAGTCTGTCCATCCTCGAACTCGGGAGTCTCATCGGGATCAATGGCAGCCATGCTCACGCGGAACTGTCATCGGCAATTAGAACATCTTGCATCCCATGAATCGATACCGTTCGATAGAATACGTACCATAGCAGCGGCATCGGGAACCGCAGGAATCAGAAGTCCTCCTGCAGGAACCCTGAGGGCGTAGACAGCGACAGGCTGGATAGCGGACATTTTGATTGAAAGCAGATAGCGAAAGAAAGGGCAAATGCAAAGCAGAAAATGACGATGAGATCAATTAATAGGTATGAAAGAAAGGGAATCCACGAAAGTAGATTAAGATACTGGAATAAGAAGAAAAAGGAAAGTTTTTGAGATGATATAGAGAGTCTCCAAGCTTTGGGACCGACTTTTTTCTGCAATGGACCAGCGGTGGAGCCTGAGGTCTCCATTTTTTTTTTTTTTACTTTTTTTTCTTCTTTTCCATGGAAACAACGCATCAGCCAATCAGGTCGTTTCACCGCCTCAGGCTGCTTTATTTTTGCCGTCATTCGCCGCCTTATAGCTTCTCCTCTCTTGTCACATGACGTCGTGTCAGCCATTCGCGTCCTCCGCCACCCAACACGAGTAGACATTGATCTTCTTGTTACTCTAGCGATATCTCTGAGGAAGTGGTATCTGATGATGCTCCTCCTCCTAGCCCATCATGGGCTCTATTCTTGATGCGAACTCCAGTGCTGTGCGCAAGCGCATCGAAAACCGTGCGTACTGCCGTTCCGAAGCATAGCGCTCTATACTAACTTTCGATATCTAGATCAGTTTGACGATGAAGAAGGCGAGGAATATGATGCGTCGAACTTCGGTGGCTTCGGCGACTATATGCGCCGTAAGAAGATCAAGTTGCAGAATCTGGACGCTGAAATACGCTCCTCCTCTCCGGACCGACCGCCCATATTCCGCGGCGTTGTCGCACACGTCAATGGCTACACTCAGCCATCTCTACAGGACCTCCATCGTCTCATAGTAAGCCATGGTGGTGGTTTTCTTCAATATTTGGACGGCAAGACCGTCGCGACCCATATCATTGCCAGTTCTCTCACCCCCAAGAAGCGCGAAGAGTTCAAGAGATATCGTATCGTCAAGCCGTCATGGGTGGTCGAAAGCATCAAGGCTGGACGCTTGCTCCCGTGGGACGCGTTCAGAGTAGTGGATGAGGGTCATGCACAGAAGGTTCTCAATTTCGATAACGGCCGACTTCTCAGCCAGGCGAATACACAGCAGACCGGTTACAGAGATCAGTCAGATTCCAGCTGGTACACATCTCGCCTGAAAGGCTTAGAAACGCTCGCCAAAGAGGTTCCTTTTGATGCAGAACCTCCTGGGGTTCCTCAACAGACTGAACAAACTGAACAGACTTCTGCGGCCGACGAAACTACGAAAACGGCCACACAATCGGACTATGGCGATTTCCCTAGCTTTGCATCTTCTGAGCCGGCTGGGATCATCCCTGACCTATCAAAGTCTGAACGAAGCGACTCACCCAAACATTCAGATGCTGAAGATATCGCAGCAGCTGAAGTAGGTCGTAGAATGTCAACAGAATCTCCAGCCGGCGTAATCAACCCAGATTCACCGCTCACTCGAGAATCCGTGCCTGCCAAAACGGAAATAACTCCCGAGGAGTATAATGCGCAGCTCTTGGCGGATCCCAGGATGCGCAATTCAAGTGTTGTGAACCCGGAATTTCTTCAGCAGTTCTACCGGGAATCTCGCTTGCATCACCTATCAACGTGGAAAGCAGAGCTAAAGGCTCAGCTACAGGCTGCTGCAAAGGAGAAGTCTCAGTCTCAATCTGGCCGCAAAAAGCCCGTTCCAGGAGCAAGACGCTATATCTTACATGTGGACTTTGATTCCTTTTTCGCGGCGGTGTCGACACTGAAACACCCAGAGCTCAAAGGCCAACCGGTAGCCATTGCACACGGTACTGGCTCGGGCTCCGAAATTGCCAGCTGCAACTATCCTGCGCGCGCCCGGGGCATCAAGAACGGGATGTGGATGAAGGGTGCTCTACAAGCCTGTCCGGAGCTGAAGGTCTTACCGTACGATTTTCCAGCTTATGAAGAAGCGAGCAAAAAATTCTATAGTGCTGTCCTCGCGCTTGATGGAGTTGTCCAGAGCGTGAGCATTGACGAAGCCCTTGTTGATATCACAACGCAATGTCTCGAGGCCGGAGGGTCAGACGGGCGAGGGATAACAGAAGGGTCTATCTACCGCGAACAGGCCAAAGCCGACGAGATCGCCCAGAATCTGCGAGACTCCGTGAAAGCGGCGACTGGCTGTGATGTGTCTGTTGGCATCGGCGGAAATGTTCTGCTGGCTAAAGTTGCACTGCGAAAGGCAAAGCCTGCTGGCCAATTCCAACTAAAGCCGGACAGTGTATTGGACTTCATTGGTGATCTCACGATGCAGGATCTGCCCGGTGTCGGATATAGTCTTGGGACAAAGCTGGAGGAGCTTGGAGTTAAATTCGTGAAGGATGTCAGGGACCTCTCTCGTGAGAAACTGATTAACCATCTTGGACCCAAGACCGGGCTCAAAATCTGGGAATATGCTCGCGGTGTCGACCGAACGGAAGTCGGTAATGAAGTTCTCAGGAAGTCAGTCTCTGCTGAAGTCAACTGGGGGATTCGCTTCGTGAATCAGACCCAGGCCGAGGACTTTGTGAAATCTTTGTGCGAGGAGTTACACCGCAGACTTGTGGATAACCTCGTCAAAGGAAAACAACTGACGTTGAAGGTGATGCGAAGATCTGCAGATGCGCCATTGGAGCCGGTCAAGCACCTTGGGCATGGGAAATGCGATGTTTTCAACAAGAGTGTCGTACTGGGCATAGCGACTAACGCCCCCGAGGCCCTTGCTAAAGAGGCAATCTCGATGCTTCGCAGCTTTGGAATAACGCCGGGTGATCTAAGAGGCTTGGGGGTCCAGATGACGAAGCTTGAGCCCCTCAAGTTAGGGGTTACCGACAAGCCAGAAAGTAGCCAGCAGCAGCTCAAATTTAAGGCGTCCCCTGTGAGAAAAAGTCATGAACTTGTCCGAGATCCTGATGACTTGGACAGCCCGCGCAAAGCGGACGCCGCAGCCGTTAGCCATGGCCCGTCTCTGAATGACGATTCGCACAAACGTTTGAACATCTCCGGAACTCAATTCATCATGCCGTCGCAGGCTGACCCTAAAGTCATTGCTGAACTTCCTAGCGACATCCGGTCAAAGCTGATGTCGCAAAGCAAAGGTCGACAGGCATCTCGCTCGACGTCGCCTTGCCCACCCCCACGTAGGACACAACAGTCCACAGCCACGGCACTTCCTCCTCAGTCGCAGCTGGACCCGGACACCCTGGCCGCTTTGCCGGAAGATGTTCGTGCTGAGATTTTAGGATACTACGGACAAACCCCAAGCACTCCAGAACCTCAACCAGCCGTGCCGTCTGCTCCCAGCTCGCGTCCAGCGTCATCCGGCAACCTCTGGAGCAAAAAGCCGTCGACCCCCACAAAAAAAAGACGAGGTCGACCCAACAGCAAAGGCACGGGCAACATGACCCTCACGCAGTCCAACTTTGTTGTCGCAAGACCCACGCCACCCTCGGTCAGTGCGGATGAGCAAGCATCGTCGCGGCAGCCCTCCCCCGACCCCGACCCCGAAATTTCCGCCGACTTCCTCGCAGCCCTACCAGAAGACATCCGCCGCGAAGTCCTCGAAGAGCAGAAACGAGCGCGTAAGCTCCAACGCTCAGGCATGCAAGCGCCCGCTCCTCGAAAGGTCGGGCCATCCACCTCTGCGCCCGCAGCACAGGAGAAGCGCCTCCGTCTTCCCCCGCTCCCGGAACGCCCGACGTTCACCTCCAAGAAACTGACAGCCCTATCCGATCTCCGAGACGAGGTCGGCGCCTGGCATGCGGCCTTCGTGGACGAAGGCCCGTTCAACGAAGACGTTGAGGCGCTCGCTCGGTACCTGAAAAGTGTCGTCGTCGACGAAAAGGATATTGACAAAGCCGTGTCGGTAGTTACCTGGTTGATGTGGCTTGTGGAGGACGCGAAGGCTTCCCGAGCAGGTGAGCGGCAGACGGGCAGTACTTCTCAGGGTACAATCACCTGGGAGGAGGCCGTTCGCTCTCTGCAGAAGGGGGTTAGCGAAGGTGTTGAGGAGAGAGGGTTACCGCCTGTTGAGTTCCCTTAGCGCACCTCGTACGTGCATATATTTCCGTATGATGTATATATCAGATAAGTTACGATCCATACGATGATCACATAGATACCGAGCAAGTCTCTAATTTGGTTGATTTATGCTGCAATTTAATAAGATGACCGGTCGATTCCAGTGAAGATACATGCGGAGATGATTTGAATCTAGATCTATACAAAACAGAAGCACACCTCACCAACATTCCCTGCAGAAATGCTCCACAATCTTGCTCACAAGCTCCTGATTCAACGGCCTCGACTCCGCCAACGTGCGCGAGACCTCCCTCGCCTTCTCCGTGTGCCAATTCTGCACCCGCCGCGACCGGTCCGTGTCATACTTGCTCGCGAAGAACTCCACAAGCTTGATGGGCGGGTTAACCGCGGGATCAGGGTTCGACTGCCTCAGACGCGACACCCAAGCACGCTTCTCGAGCTCCTCGAACTCGAGGCCCGCGGCGCGCAGATACGGCAACAGATCTCTGGTCCAGTGGAAAGGATGCGGGCTGACGATGTTGAAGACTTGATCGGGCTCGGAGGAGAGTGAGATATCGATGACGGAACCCGCGACTATGTCGACGGGGAGCCACAGCGGGGACTCGTCGAGGGCCGGGAGGGCGCCGATGGTCTTTGCGCACTGCAGCATGAGTGGGATGGCCTCTGTGGGGTTCCAGATGCCGTGCGTCTGGTCGCCGATGACCTGGCCGATGCGCAGGACGCGCGCTCGCAGGCCGGTCTGCTGCGCGGCGTTGGTGCAGATGTGTTCGCCGACGAGCTTGGACTGTGCGTAGCCCATGTGCTGGGCGAAGGAGAGGTTCTTGGGGAGGGCTTCGGGGATGTCTGTGCCTTCTGTGTTGAAGACGGTGCTGGCGGAGGAGCAGAAGTTGAAGGTTGCGGGGGTGGGGCGCTGGGCTTTGAGGCAGAGGTCGATGAGGTGCTTGAGGCCGGCGATGCTGTCTTTTTCGAAGCTGCTCAGCTGCATATTGAAGTTGACGG